TTATCTGTAATATAGCGTCAGTGAATGTGTCCTGTGGTTATGGATGTAATTGTCCTGAAAAGACGGCAAACAACTGCTCCAACAAGATGGAGCACATTAGCAGCCCAGCAGGACGCCCAACAGCTAGCTTGTCTGCCTGGTTCTACACCTCCAGTAATAATGCAATTCCACAAGGAACTGAACCATTGTCTGAGAAGCCACCCAACAGCCACTGCATCCTTAATGAAGTCACTCACCAAGCACTGGAAAACAGAAGGTGCTTGGAGTGCATCATTAGTTCTGTCAGAAGGATAATTTACACATCTATCTTGTCAAATTTTCTATGGTTTATACTTTGACAATAATCAATCTAACATACATTTGATTAGTGAACTAGCAAGCAGCGGGGGAGAAGAAGGCATAGCTGTGGCCCCTCATAAACATATCTGATGAGAGAGTTTAACCCGTTGGTGGCACTGGTCTGTGAACTGCTTCTGCTACTGAGAACAGAAATGACGAGGCAAGGGGTAGGAAATCATGGCTCCCCAAGTAAGGGACCAGAGATCTTTGGTTTTGCTTAGCAAATTAAGCTGACTATACTGTAGAGTAAGTGTGCAAGGGGAAGCCCAGTTTAAAGATAAGCATCTCCTGAGACTAACAATCAGATTGTAACTGGACACAGCTCTGAGACTCTGGGAATGCTGTAGGGCTGCCTGAGCTGCATCAAGAAATTAAAACAGCACAGGCCTCCACCCAGAGAGGGAAGTGGTTTCCAAGTACAAGACCTTCTTTGCAGAGCTGGACCACAATGTCCTTCAGAAAATCCTTAACTTGCTATATATTCATCAATTAGAGGTCACACTCATCTGTACACATGGGACACATGTGCTAGACACTTATATGGTAGCACCTTAAACATTTACACAGCTCATTATCTGAAAAGAAAAAGTTCTCTTTATGTAGCATGTTGTGTCGTATCACAAGGGAAGAAGGAATGAAGCTACCAATATTTGCTGCAATATTTGCTACTATGACAACGTCTACACACCTACTATGCAGCAGTCACTACAGAGAAGCACAGGACATGATAAACTCGTGCTTTCATACCACGATCATTGCATGTGTGCTGCTAATGGCTGTTTGAGAATCCAAGGGCAAGGGGCATCTTTTTCTGCTTCAACTGAAAATGGATTTCACATTTTAAGTCTGATTTCCAATTGTGTCTGTGTGGGTATTTAGTGAATAAACAGGATTTTAATGTGTTCTTCTAGGACAGAGAACAGGTTCCAGGGGTGGTTTTTGAAATCACTTACTTAACATAACTCTGGGATTCAGGGAATACTCTTTTGTAGTGTGATATACAGTGTTAAAAAGGAACAGAGGTCAGAGAGATGGCTCAATGGGTGGCTTGCTCTACAAAAGCACGAGGACCTGCATTTGGATCTCCAGGACCTACACTGTCTGTAAGCGCAGTGCTGGGTGCAGGCGAAGACAGGCAGGTTCCTGGGGCTTGCTGGCTTCAAGTCGAGCATGGAAGGCAAGTCCTTGTTATGTGAGAGTCCCTGTCTCAAAAACTAAAGTATAGAGTAGGTGAGAATAATCCTCAATGTGAACCTCTGGTCTACACACACACACACACACACACACACACACACACACACACACACACACACACACACACACACAGGTAAAGGCAAAGTTACTGGTGTCATATGTAAAAAAATGTGGACGTGATGGCTAGCCTGACCCACAAACATTATCTGGAACTACTCTATGTGGTTTCAGAAACTGAAGACTTAGCAGAAACTACTAAATAATTCTACCTTAAAGGACTAAATCTGGGCCAGCTGAACACAGAGGTCTCTTTTATCTAGATGTATTTAACTTGTTAGTCACAGTTTGATTATAAGGGCAGAAAGACCTTTATAGACTTATAAGGAAGAACAAAATGGGAAGATTAGCACAGTGGTAAAGAGCTGGCCTAGCATGCTACAAAGGTCTAGGTTCAACCCAAACAAGTACTTGGTGGAAGGGAGGAAGAGACAGAGGATGAAGCTGACCAGAAAGAGGAGAAAAGAACCAACTATAAAACAGACCTTTTATTCAGGAGCTTACTGAAGAACAAAGTAGAATTAGCAAAAGCCTGAAGTAACAGTCATTATTACAACAACCACGTCTTGAGAACTAAGTTGTAGGACATGTCCAGCATGCACAGGCCTGACTTTCATCTCCATCATTACAAAACGAGCAACAACAAATAACTATCAAACACCACATTTAACACACCAAGTACCCATTCAGCTTGAACCTGTAAGTCAGATTTTAAAAAGAAAATTGGGCCGGGCGGTGGTGGCGCACGCCTTTAATCCCAGCACTCGGGAGGCAGAGCCAGGCGGATCTCTGTGAATTCGAGGCTAGCCTGGGCTACCAAGTGAGTTCCAGGAAAGGCGCAAAGCTACACAGAGAAACCCTGTCTCGAAAAACAAAAACAAAAACAAAAATAAATAAATAAATAAATAAATAAAAAGAAACTCCTTTTTATAGGAGTGCTGCTTTAAATTTTTTGCTCCCTTCCTCTCTCCCTCCTACCTTCCTTCCTTCCATTAATGTATGCTATACGTGCTTCTGTGTGAATGTGGAGGCCAAAAGAGGATGCTGGGTATCTTCCTCTATTCCTTTGAATCTGATGCTCACATGTTCTCAGCTACAGTGGCAGCTAGCAAGTCCTAATGGTCCTGTCTCTATCCCACCCAGAACTTGGGTTATAGGAGTATACCAGACACCCAGTTTGTTATATCGGTGCTGGGATCTGAACTCTGGTCCTTGTGATGTGCAGAAAGCACTCTTGATCACTGAGCCATCTCTCTCTAGTCCCCATAAGCTTCTTATTTTTCCATTAATTAGCATGAGGAAACTACTACTAGATTATGTATAGAACTAATGCTGGATGGACATCCAATATCTTGTCAGATCAAGTTTGGGCACTCTGGGATCTGCCAGGTACTAATGAGAACAGAGAACAATGGACTATCTGACTCTGAGTACTAAGTAGAGCTAACAAGGCTTCTTAAAGGGGGACTCAACTTAGAAAGGACTCTGACTTACATATCTGCTTGTGCCATAAAGCACATTGTGGTTGGTTGGTTCTGGCAAAACTGTATGCTCCATAAATGCCAGCCAACAGACCTCTACCATGTGGTAACGTTCAGCCTTCAAGAGAATCTGAGTTAGGACTATGACTCTTCATGACTTCGTAAGAGAAACTGAATGCTCAGAGGCCATAATACTATATATATATATATATATATATATATATATATATATATATATATATATATATATATATATATATATCTGTGTCATCTGCTAATGAAACTTCTGACATTAAGACAAACTGATGAATACCACAGACTTTACAAAAGCAATTAAAATCCAGTGCTGTGTGGGTTTTCTCTTATTGCTGACATTTAGAATGCCTGTTTTCTTTCTGTCTTGTTGGTTTTCTGTGATGGGTCTTGACCTTGGGATTGTCCTGCCTCGGCTGCCTGAGTGCCGGTGTTACAATCACGTCCGCCATCCACCATGCTTGGCAGCAAGGCCAGTTTGGGATTTTTTTGTTTTGTTTTGTTTTGTTTTAAATGCTAAAGGTTTGTCTACACAGTTTATCTAATAGCTCTGAATGTTTAAATAGCTCATTTGAGACTAGAAACTGAAAAGAAATTTTAATAGAGTAAATAGTTCACAAGAACCGGATTCAATCTGTCTTCAGGGCCATCAATCAGTTTGATACACTTGAAATTTAAACCAGAGTAGAACTGAGTGTTTATACAACAGAAACCAAAGCAAGTGAAAAGGTTAAATAAAATGAGACAGATAAAAGTAGAAAAGAATAGAAAATTTTATCTTTCTTGAAGACTAAGAGCAATATTTCATTGTTCTTTGTAATCCTGTTATATAACACACTATCTACCACAAAATAAGACAGTCAATAAATTTAGTTGAAGTAAAGAACTGAACTATATAAGCCGGGCGGTGGTGGCGCACACCTTTAATCCCAGCACTCGGGAGGCAGAGCCAGGCGGATCTCTGTGAGTTCGAGGCCAGCCTGGGCTACCAAGTGAGTTCCAGGAAAAGACGCAAAGCTACACAGAGAAACCCTGTCTCGAAAAACCAAAAAAAAAAAAAAAAAGAACTGAACTATAGCTATTTCTAAGACATTTTAAATATGGCATAGGGATTCAAAAATCTAGTAAAGCAATGTAGTTTCTTTATTTCCTCGATTGTATTCACCCTGTGTTCCCTTTATCTTGGCATTATATCTTGGAAATACCCAGAGCTATTCTGTAGTAGACAGAAGGCATGACACAGAACTCCAAGTTCTCATTTCTTCAAAATCTAAAGAACTCTCTAGACCTCACTGGTGATTCTCCACTACAGTGACTGGTATTTAGCAATGCCTAGACATTTCTGGCTGTCCTAATGGGGCAATTGTCATTGGCATTGTGCTGGGTAGTTTTATGTCAACTTGACACAAGCTACAGTCATTTGAGAAGAGATAACCACAATTAAGAAAATGCCCCTATAAGATTGGGCTGCAGGCAAGCCTGTGGAGCATTTTCTTAATTAATTGATGGGGAAGGGCCTAGCCCATTTTGGGTGGTATCATCCCTGGTTGAGCAAGCCAAGGGGAGCAAGTAAGCAAGCAGCACCCCTCTATGGCCTCTACATGAGTTCCTGGCTCCAGGCTCAAGCCCCATTTGAATTCCTGTCCTGACTTCCTTCAGTGATGGACTACAATGTGAAAGTGTAATCCAAAGAAAGCATAAGGTCCTTTCCTCTCCAACTGCTTTTGGTCATGGTGTTTCACCGCAGCAATAGCAATGCCTATCCATAAGACAGGCATCTACTGGGTGGGTGTAAGTCATGGATGCTGGTAAACATCCCAAAACTCATAGAGCAGCAACCCGCCAACAAAAAATTATCTGGCCAAAAATGTAAATAATGCCAAGACTAAGGGAACCATGGGTCTCTATGCTTCCGAGTGTTCACCACCCAGGAGTCCCAACAACCGACAGAAAGGTGTGATTTCACTGCCATAAGCAACAGAAGGTGTGTTCACTGCCATGACCGACAGACAGGTGTGCTTTCACTGCCATAACTGACAGGAAGGTGTGATTTCACTGCCAGAACTACCAACTGAATCAGCAATAGCCAGGAGCACAGTCCTGCAGGAAATATTGTAAATATAGACTGTTCATCACAGTGGCCATTAGTTTATATGGAGACACCGAGCATTTGAAATGTGGTTAGTGTAACCAAGGAAGTTAATTTTTTTATTTTATTTAATTTTAATTACAGAAATTTAAATAGAATAACAGCAGAAATAAAGTGTACCTAACAGATTTTTTTTGGTCTGTCTTTTCAAGATAAGGCTTCTCTGTGTAGGCCTGGCTGTCCTGGAACTCAGTCTGTAGACCAAACTTGGCCTCAACCTCACAGAGATCTACCTGCCTCTGCCTCCTAAGTGCTGGAATTAAAGGTGTGTGCCACCACTGCTCAGCTCTGATATTAAATTTTTAACAGATACCATACTTGAAAATATCAATTAGAATTAATTTTGGTAACCACATGAAACATATTATAAACTGTTAGGTACCTATAAGAATATGATAATGTAATCTGAGAATCCTCACACTAAGGGTCTACACGAAAATTGCCAGGAAGGAAAAATTCTCTTTAATGTTCCCCCCATCCAAAAAACCCCCAAACCCGTGGCTGTTACTCAAGCCACCCTCCCTCAGGACGGAAGTTACTACAAGTCCAGCACATGGAGGACCTAACAGATACATGCTGTCACGGCCTTTTGAAGCTGAGCCTAGGTGAGGGGTGGTGAGCAGTGCATTCTCAATGGTTTTCCCTGTGAGCCAAAGTTTGCTGCACCTACGATAGGAATGAAAAGCTGTAATGTTCTGATACATTATGAATTACATTGTTTTTAACTATCTGTTACTAGAATCTGTTTACATTGCTTCAGCAGAAAAATACTTTATGTAATGCACAAGTTCTGGGAGAAAAAGCCAGCCATAAAGAAACTGAAAATATTACTCAAAAAGCAAAACAAACTTTTTGCTCTCATGGTGGTCTGATGTAAAGTCACTGTTGGCCACACTACTTAGCTTCTGGCTATCAGAGGACATGGCTTTGACACTGGTACAGTCAAGATGCTGGGCAGCTTTGTCTCAGAAGCATCCATGTATTACCTGTCTCTAGCCTCTTCCCTAGCCCTGATTCCTAGAAACCACTAATCGTTTCTCAAGCGGTTTGTCACGTCAAAGCTGTTACAGAATCATAAAGGCAAGAGGCCATTGGAGACTGGCTTTGTTACACTCAGCACAGTCCCACAGAGATGAAGCCAAGTACAGTCAATAGTTTATTCCTTTTTGTTACCGAGTAGCATATTCCAGAACATGGATTAACAGGATTTATTTAGCCACACAGAGGCTAAAAGATATCCAGGCTGTTCCACCTTCATCTTTTTACAGTTGAGACCAGTTAACCAAGTTTTCTTTTTATGGACAATGCTTTTGGATCCAGTCCAAGAATTCTTTGCCTGGCTCTAGACCTGAAGACTTTCTCCTATGCTATTTTCTAATAGATTTAGAGTTTATCATTATCTATTTAGGGTTAATTTCTGTATAAAGTAGATTTAAGTCAATGTTCTTTTGTATGTACAGTTGCATGCATGTGTGCTTACAGATGTACAGCTGTTCTAACATCATTTCCACTGAAGTGTTCCTGTCAAAATAATTTGGGCCCACGTATGTGGCCCAAGTTCTGTGTTCTCTATTCTCTTCCATAGATCTAACACTACAGTCTTGGTTATTGAAGCTATATAATAAGGCTGATAATCAGAAAATCTTTTTTTTTCTTTTTTTCAAAATTATTTATCTAGTTCTTTTGTTTTATCATATAAAAATTAGGATATCTTTCCTAGATCCGTAAAAAACTCTGCTAAAAGCTAGGCAGTGATGGTGCACACCTTTAATCCCAGTAGTCAGGAGGCAGAGGCAGGCAGATTTCTATGAATTTGAGAGCAGCCTGGTCTACAAAGTGAGTTCCAGGAGAGCCAGGGCTACACAGAGAAACTCTGTCTCAAAAAACAAAAAACAAAACACAAACAAACAAAAAACCCTCACTAAAATTCTAATAGAAAATGTGTTAAAAAGACAGTTTGGGGGCTGCGTCTGGTAGCAGGAGAAGATGGCGGTTTCCACAGACAAACTATGAAAACAGAATATATAGCCTGAAAGTAGAATGTGGATCTAAATACCCAGAAGCTCCTCCATCAGTTAGATTTGTAACAAAAATTAATATGAATGGAATCAATAATTCTAGTGGAATGGTGGATGCGTGGAGCATACCAGTTTTAGCAAAATGGCAAAATTCCTATAGCATTAAAGTTGTACTCCAAGAGCTAAGACAGCTAATGATGTCCAAAGAAAATATGAAGCTTCCACAACCACCGGAAGGACAGACGTACAACAACTGATTTTAGTGGATCTCAAACTTGTCTTAAATCAACAACCTTCTACTCATGTTAATGTCTTGATTAAATATCACCATGCAAAATACCCACACATTAAGTAAAAGAATTCTAGCTGGTAAACATGACCTGGACAGTTGTAAGAATATATTTAATATATGTACACTTATTATGTTTTCAGGTAACAAGAGAAGTGCAGCACAATTTTTCTTCCTCTTCTTAAAGCACTGTCATTTAAACATGAGCCTGAAGTATTCAAAGTGAATTCAGGTTTTCAAGACAAAAGCATGACAAAGGAGTGTCAGATGGCAGTGAAACCTTTGTCTCAAGAAGGAAGAACAGAACTGGCATGCTTTATCATCGTCCTTAGACCACAGCGAACTGTTTAAAGTAGCAGGTATAATGAGTAGTCACAATTGTGCTCACTCTTGAAGCGGTGCGGGTGTGGGTGCTGACTGCTATAGCATCAAAAATAGCTTCAGGATTGTTTTGATACCTGTATTTATAATAAAAAGATGTTTGGGGGGTATTGATGAATCTCTGTTAAAAGCTGTTCCTGTTTGTTACATGTAACAGACATGATAAATATTTGCTTACAGTCTCTGTTTAATAAAACATGCTTAGAAGTTTTAAGTGAAGTCAACAAAAAAGAAAAAAAAAAAAGACAGTTTGGACAGAACTGACATTTTTACCATGCAGTCTTTCCCATCAATACAGGAACAGGAATTTGACTTCCATTTATTTATATATGACTTCTTTGGTTTCTTCCACTGGCATTCTTTAACTTTTAGAATAAAAACAAACAAAAAACCTATGTATATTTTCTTAGATTGAAGCCTATTTTACTAGATTCACATTTATTTCAATTTTTAGTAGTTGTGAATGTTGTTAACATTTGTTGTTAATTTTTATATGGAATTTTGTATTCTGTGTTCTTGCCTACTCTGTCTTTGAATATTCTCTGGGATTTTCAAGACAGAGGATCATGTAATGGCCGAAAAGGAACAGTTTATTTTCCTTTCTTCCCTTTTTCCTTCCTCCCTCCCTCCCTCCCTTCTTACCTCCCTCTCTCCCTCCCTCCTACTTTCTTCTCTACCTTCTATTTCACACTACAGGTTCTGAACAGATGCTCTTCTCGACCACTTTTACTTCAAGCATTTCTGATAAGACCACTTTCTGCTCTGACCACGAGGGAGAAGAAATTTGGTAACAGCTTTGATTTGCTTAGACACCAATATTTCAACTAACATTGGTAAACTCACTCAGGGTATTTGCTTACTGCCAAAGGACTTGAAGAACAATTTCAGAAAATGGGAGACTTAAAATCCTAAGCCCAAGTTCAAGTTAAGTATGTGGCTGACACAAACTGTGCTGTTTAACCAGCACATCAGCTGCAGATGCAAGAACTATAGACGGTAAGCAGACTCCCTATTTCCTTCAGCCTCAAGTCCCAGACTACATCTGTCTTCTCTGATACACAAAACCAGAGTTAAAATAGCTCCATTTATCACAGCATGATTGTAGGCAGACAAACCAGCCTGTCTGTTTCCAGATAGTGAAAGCAACTGTTATTAATCACAATTACAGGCCAAACCCTCCAAGAGAAATTGCATCAATATTCTCTACTACTGGAACTAAAACAAAACAAAAACAACAAAAACCAAACAAAAAACTAAACCAACTGTCATGACACTGCCTGAAAGTCAACAAAGAAATATGCTACTGAGGCCAGCTTCAATGTTCAGTTCAGGAGCAAATGAGGAAAACCCTTTATACATATTAAAAAATAGTGGTCTCTCAAAAGCTTTACTAGAAAGCCTAGCAGCACAATTAAATATGTTATTTAAATTTTGGATTAAAAACACCTCTGCTTTATAAAACTATAATAGCAATGGGCATTTGAAAATTTCAAATTAAATGATTGACTTCAGAGAAGCTACCACAAAAACAGACATTTTACTACAGCCAATTTAACTGCCAGTAATGTGAAATAAACTTATTTTTCTTTGATGCATATTTTAAGAGACCTATAGAGTAAGACCTCTAAGCTATACATGAAAATTTTAGTCAGACCCCCTTAAATGTACACCTCTTTTCCAAATAAACTGCAACCCACTCTTCAGTGGTTGGTGCAAAAGATGAAGAAAATAAATCAGAGTTCTACCTGGTACTCTCCTACTACTTGAAAAGTACACACTATAATGTTTCAGCATCTACATGCAAGGTGCGTTAGATGCTATACATGCATCACAGCTATACCCTATAAAGAACCTATGAGGTGGTGAACTCTTGGACTGCAGCTGAGGACAACTGCAGCTCAGAGAACCTGCTTCCCTATGATCAGTAAATTTGGAGTTAGAAGTTCAATACATATTTGATTTCAAAGACTATATTCCTTTCCTATTTATAGCACCTTAAGCTTGTGTGTGTGTGTGTGTGTGTGTGTGTGTGTGTGTGTGTGTGTGTGTGTGTGTGTGTATCACTCAATGCAGTCATAATTTTGACCACATATTAGAATATGTGCATGTGTCTACATGCACATGTGTGGTGCTTGGGAATGAACCTAGGACCTTCTGCATCTGAGGTAAATGCTCACCATCCAAATATATTCCAAACATCCTTCTAATCTTCATCTTGAGACAGGATCTCAATATAAATTGCCAGGAAAGACCTGAACTACCTCAACAACCCAAGAATGACATGTGCTTATGATCTTCCTTGAGTATAGGATCATATTAATCATAAAAAAGACTCAGTTTATTTTACAATACTTCTGTGAAAGTGTGTTAGCAGAGTCACTTACTCAGCAAAATGCAATAACATGCCTACTCTGCATATTACTGAATGCTCCTCCTATGTGCAGTTCACATTTTGTCTTAAAGCAGACAGTGCCCTCCTGTAATCCTTGTCCTTCAGGAAGAACTCCGTGGAGCAGTCACTTGTGTTCTGGGGACTGGAGAACAGAATATGATCACAGAACTGTCACTGAACAAATGGGAAACAGTAAAAACTATACAAGTGAGCAGGGAACATCTCTAGGAAAGTGACATCTTTACTGGAGACCTAAATGACCAGGTAAAGGGAGCCATGCAAACAACTATGAGGGGATCAGCAGAAAACGAGGGAAGAGCATGAGCCATGAGGGAAAAGAGGTGAGGTCTAGAAAATGGCAGGAAAAATGGATCAGAGATAAGGACAGAGAGAGGGATGGATGGACACACCACTGCATCCTTGAAGGCCTGAGAAGGGGTCTGGGTTTTGTTCTGAATGTGAAGAGACAACCTGATTTAAAGAAATGACTCCCAGGCAGTAAGAAAAGGGAGGAGGGGATCTGGTGAGTGAAGAGGATGGTACAGTGCACCAGCAGGAGACAGACGGAACTAAGGGAGGACCAGAAGAGGTGACATCTTTTGGTAACTGGAGTTATCAGCATACATCTTCAGGATGGTTTTACCTTGAGGGGCCAAGGCTGTCACTAAGGAAGTGAGTGAACAGGGGCGTGAAAGGATGCACTCTCTACTCCCGCAGCTTACCAAGACCACACACTCACTTGACAGTGTACATGAGGTGGACGGTGCACCTCTACAAGCCTAGGTTCCTTTTCTAAGCACTACAGGAAATCAGGTAGTTTGGAGTTTGTTTCCATGCAGTCATTGTTTCTGATCACATAAAAAATAAGTATGACAAATGGAACAGAAATTTGAAAATGTGTCTTTCAATGCAGCAGCCTCTAAATTTAGTATGGAATCAAACCTTGCCACATTCTACTTCAAGCCAATAAATGGAATTTTTCAATGTGTGAAGTCTTTAAACAAATAAAGATCTTTAATCCTAAAATATACACAAATTGTACAAGTAGTTTTACTGTAAGTGATAATGTAATGAGAATGGCCCACACAGACTCAGACATTTGAACACTCAGTCCTCAGCTGGTGGAATGTTCAGGAAAGAGTAAGAGGCATGGCCTTGTCGGAGGAGGTGTGTTTCTGGTGGTGGGCAGTGAGGTTTCAAAGGTCCACGCCGTTCTAACATCTCTGTCTCCTGGGTGTGTTTCAGAATGTAAGCTCTCGGCTGCTGCCAAGCCTGCCTGCTGCTGCCATGCTCCCTGCTCTGGTGGTCCGACCCTCTCACACTGCGAGCCCCAAGTAACTCTTTCTTCTCTATGTTGCCTGATCACGGTGCTATCTACGGTAATCGAAATAATAACTAAGACACTGTAACATGAACTGCCCTGTACTGTTTCAGTACCTGATACTGAAATGTTAGATGCCCACAATTAGGAAATGACTTACGGGGAAGATCTACTAAGAATAATACCTATAATGAAGAAATTAAAACTGTGATTCCCTTCTGGGGCACTTGTTTAGAAGGTAATTATCTTAGATAATGTGGAAATTAAAGAAAAGGAGGATTTATAGTCTTAAAAGAAGACTAATACACATTGTTTCTTTTCAAAGGCAGTCAATTTCAATCTGCTTAGATTTGAAATCATTTCAAATAATTTAGGCTTCTTGGTGTAAGGCCGGGGACAGGGAGGAGCGAAGCCTTACACCAGTGACAGCAGCTTAGTCGTGGATTCCACTGGACACAAGGATAAAGCTGCTCAGCAGCAAGTTGAAGAGGACAAGGGAGATTAAGTCCCACAGCCCCTGAAACTTAACCCTTTCCTTCACCTTCTGCCCCTCTCACAATCAGGCATTTGTTGTGTCTGTGGCTGTCTGGACAGGGCAGTCTGAAGTGCGGGAGACTACACTAACAACAGTGAGCGTGGCACAACCATACCAGTTTTGATCAGCAGTTTCTGAATGTAACACTGATTCTCCTGGGCCAACCATGTAACCGCCTTGAGGAGAAGGAAAATCTGAAATTCTCTAGCCTAGTTGGCCAGTAATATTTATATGCAGAAAACACATTACACAAGATTAAAGGCATTAAGTATACTTTGTATCAAAAAACAATATCTAAGGGCTAGAGAGGTAGCTCAGCTGTAAGGTCTGGGGCTCAGTCTCTATCACAAACAAAACCCACAGGGAGTAGTTACATACTTTACTTTGACCAAGGATTGATAAATCAATATATTACAGGGTAAGGTTTACACTTTTCCCAACTATTGCTTATTGATTTACTTGTGGTACTGGGTAATCTATATAATAAACACACATAATATATTAATATACTATACACACACACAACTTTTATACCTTTCACAAATAAAACCAAGTTTCAAGTCTATATGCAGCAGAGTCTAGTCACTTTTTCTGCAGTGAGTACTATAAAGGTCAGCACAGCTGTGCTCCAGAGACAGTAGCCCTCAGCATCTGAGAAGCAACTGCAGCGTGTCTCCCTTTGGGTACCTTGTGGAGGCCCACAAAGGTTTCCTGGTGAGATCTGAGCTTGCTTTACCCAGCAGAGCTGCATTAGAGGATTGCTTGACCATGTGCATGGTTACCAGGTGATTGGAAGGGTCTACACTTGGCTGTGCTAGGGGGAGGTCTTTTGCTCCACCGTTTGGCACTCCTATAAACAGACCTTTAGAA